CTGCCTCGTACGTTTCCTTATTGTTCACTACTCGCTACGGTTCCCTTTGTCCACACACGGACAATAGCTCCCTTTGTTCCCACGTCCGCTATTGTCCTACACCCCTTGTACTCCGTACCCATGGCGACGCTATTGTTCTCTAGCGCCCATTGTTCGTTCCCTGTATATAGCTGGATCCCTTGCTACCTGGAGACTCTAGTTTCGACCTCTTGTCTCCAGGTAAGCCATCGTGTATTTCGCTCTGTAGATACCTCGCTCAATACACAACTTGTCTCCAGTCCTGCCTGTTGAGCTCCGCTCCAGTCTCACTGCGATCAGAGCTCGTCGACGCTCCTGCCTGCCTCGCTCGTCTCCACTTACTCGCTCGACAGTCAGTCGTAACAAGGAGGGTGTCGACTGTATATGGATGCGGCGATGTATACATGAAACAGTTGTTGTATGGAAGGGTTGGCAAATCGACGTCGGATGGCCATTCTATATACAAAAAGTAATCATCGATGCATGAAATCGAGCGTGGATAGACGCCGAGCTGTCATCGCGATGGCATTTGCTGGCAAAAGCCACAAATCGTAGGAAATAGTAGTCTCGTGACCAGACGTTCGGAGCCTGAAGCGGATACGAAAAACCGGAGGTATCCGGGCTCACGAACGTCTGGTGGCTTCACCCCCGTGACTCCCCCATCGGTGACAGGTCGTGACGTCTCCCTGCCTTCTACCGTCACTAAGCTTCCTGTCCGCCAGCGCTTATGGATTCCCGAGGCGCCAAAGAAGACTTCGAGGAGCACCCCAGCGGTTGGGGAGCCCTCTTCGATGACGACGAGGACGACGACGCCGACTACGCACCATCCGAGTGCGACAGTGACCGGCTCTCGGATGTCTCTGAATGGGACCCTGTGGAAGCTGCACTCGAGGATCCTGCCCCGCCCATATACCTCTACAACACTCAATCGATGCGTGGGCGCTTATCGCTCTCGATTTCCGTTCCCGGGCGCACTGTCGTCGACCGCGTCAAATCCATTCTGGCCCATATGGAGTCGGTCGACATGAACCTCCCCCTTTTCCTGGATGCACTCAGCTGGGGTGATGCTGCCTGCATCTCTGACCCAAAGGTCCGCTACGAGCGCAGCGCCCTTATGGGCAGTGAAGAGCTTCCCCGCATCCTCAAGCGCTGGTACAAGGTCCCCCGGGCGTCGGCTTCACGCAGCCACCACGTCCGTCCCCAAGGCGCTCGAAAGGCTCTCGAGGAGTTCGCACTAGGCTGTGTGGAGGACGTTCTCGACCGTGAGCTTGAAACTAGCTCCCACCTCTTCCGCTCGCCTCCCGACTGCCTTTCGGAAGAAGGGCTGACCCGCTTTCAGTTTGCGGAGGTTGCAGAAGCCTTGCAGGATGAGGCCACGGGCGCCCCGAGTGTCTGGCGGCTCATACATGGTAGCACTCAGCGGTTCTGTCGTGCGTCCAAGGGTACTTCTCGTAAGGATTCCGTTTCTGTGAGACATCCCTGCACTACTGTTGTCTGCATTTGTGGCTGAATGTGATTGGTGTCAGGCAGCTGTGGCGATAATCAGTCAGCTTCAGCACCTCCGCTCCCGCAACTTGTCCGCCTGGACCAAGCCTCTCACTGTCTTTCTAAAGGCAAAGGGGACGTCTGCAAAGGCACTCGACCTCCTTCACACCTTTGGTATCACGATGAGCCATAGCTGGAGTGTGCGTGCATACTCTCGCATCTCCACAAGCGCCATGGAGGCTCTGCGCCTGGCTGTTCACCGTTTCCGGTGGTGGCTGGCTTACGACAACGTTAACTTCGCTTTCAAGGTCTTCTCTATGCGTTTGCAGAACCGGTCGCATTTTGACTCAGGGACCACCGGGTCTGTGTTTGTCAAACCATTTGCCCTACAACCTCCACCACTTTCTGGAGAAGCACTCCAGGCACAGCGCCGCATCGGTCGCACTAACCCGATAACCCTCTCCGACATTGCAAACTTGGAGAACAATGCAGCCCCCCGTATCCATTCATATATGGTCCACACCGTCCTTCGCATGCTTCTCGATTCCTCAGAATTCAACTTCTCAACCTACATCCCTCAGACCGACCCTGCCTTTGCTCCACCTCCTCCTGTGAGCCGACTTCCTGCTGGGCGTGAGAACATCACCAAGCAGTTCATCCTCGGGACCGTTCACATCGATGAGTCAACGTACGAGGGAACACGGGATCTCATTGCTGAGTTCCTTCGCCAGCTAAACCTCTTTACCACTGAAGAGATCGAGCACCTGGCCAAAGTGGCTGCACTTGTCTGGATTGGTGATCAACTCACGATCGAGCGCCTGCGGGGGCTGGCCAACTATCGCTCCGAGGACCTCAATGGCTTTGATCGCCTCGACTGGATGGTCTTTGTCTTTGGCTGGTTCCATCTTCTCATGGCCTGTGCGAACTCTCTGCACCGCCAGTACTTCGGCTCACCTGCAGGGAAGGGCCTGCGTCAGGCCTTTGCACTGCTCAAGCGCACCGGACTCCAGTCAGTTCAGATCAAGGGTACCTTCTATCATCATCTTCATGAAGGCATCTTTCATGTGACAGAGGCACATGTTCGAGATTGCTGGCGCAAGGTGGGCGGGGTCACCGAGTTAGCTGAATTGCGCAACAGATCCCCTGCGGAACTCAAGGACCTGGCGGAGACTCTGGTTGAGCAATATGCATCAAACAACCGGGTCGAGGACTTGGAACGTGTCAGCACAGGAAACGAGGATGACCTCCTCCGCCAGGCGGTGATGTGGAACCGTGATGCATTACACTACATGGTGCTGTGGCATGCGATGCGGCAGGGTGATGTGGGCTTGATGGAGGATCTCCTTCCCTATCTCTTCTTGCGCTTCAGTGGCGGAGGAAACCACAAGTACGCTGTCGAGATTCTCGAGCTCCTACAAGGGCTACATCGTGAGTGGCCCGAGGAGGTGAAGTACGTAGATTGACTACACGGACTAGAATGCGCACACTCTAACACACTCAGCAGAGCATTTGTCCGGCAGAACTGCTGGATAATCAATATGAAAGGGGGTGAAGAAGATTGGACAGCAATCGACCTGGCAATAGAGCGGACAGTGCGCGACATCAAGGTAACATACCGACCGAGGGGGCCAAACCAGTCTTGGGAGCTTATGAAACAGCGCGCGCCAGCCATCCCCACGCTGCGAAGCCTCGACGATGACATTTCCAGGCAATTTCGGACTATATACAGGGGTACAAATCACACAACACCCGACAAGGAGGCCGACATCCGCCTCCTCGATGAGCACTACAATCGTGCGCAGCTCCACATGTATACCCCAGGCCGGCGTACGACAAACACGGCAGACAAGGTCAAAGAGTTCGTCAGCAATGGATACTACATCGCGCAAACCAAAATCATTCCGAAATGGCATGCGAGGCGCGCGGCATACGAGCACGCCACCTCACAAACCTGGCCCGAGAACTGGCCGACATCCAGAGGTACGAGAGGTTTGCGCAGAATCTGCAACAATCACGCTCACCTGGCTGAGCCGCAGACTAGTGGGACCAGCCAAGGTGCGAGAAGGGGTGCGACGATGGAGGGGTCGTGTGATTTGCGGGTCGTGCGGGCAAGTGGGGGGACGCCGTCGGGGCTGCGGAGGATGATTCTGCAAAGGGATTGAGCTGGGTAGCCGGGGGAGATCGAGATGAGGACGACGGCGAAACGCGGTAAGCGTGGGGAGGAAGCGGGTAGCCTAAAGGGGAGAATGTGTATGCGCTGGGATATGGCAGAGGCGAGTACGACGGATAGGCGAATGCATGTGGAATTGCGGGCAGAGGACGTTGGACGGGTGTCGAAGGGAATGGATAGCCTGAAGGGGAGGATGTGTACACGCTAGCATAGTGGGAGGGAGAAGCGGATGACGGCGAGGGTGCGTTGAGCGCCGCGGATGCACCCATGGGGCCCGTATATGACGCTGCAGTCTGAGCCCAGTTTCGGTGGGCCTTCTCTGCGTACTGCTGCGCCCGTGCAGCCTCACGTTCCACGTCTTTTTTTGCGGCAGCCTCGGCGCGTCGTCGCACTGTGTCGGCCTTGCGGTCCTCGCGTTTCTTCAATGCCGCCGCCAAACGGCGCGCATCCTCCACGAGGTCTAGTTCTCGGACAATCTTGAGGACCTCCTCCCCATTGCGTCGACATGGGGCCAGGGGGGGTTGAGGACCCGCTTGAGGTCATGGATCGTCTTCAGATCCCGACGGAGGGAAGCGATGGTGGTGAGCGCGGTGTCGGGGAGGAGGTTCTCGGCCTTGAGGGAGGAAAACTTGTATTTGGTCCGCCGCGTCGTGTATCGCCAGTCCACGAGCTGAGTTTTCACGGTCTTGAGATGGGTGCCCGCACGCCGCTTGGGAGACATACGGGAGCGCAGTGGGTTGTCGACAGAACGCGTAGGGGAACTGATGTGAGGGGCTGCGGTCTACAGCTCGTATGGTGAGGGATCTGGTAGGGACGGTCAGAACCGGACTAGACGTACCTGTTGGCGGATACCCGAGCCACCCTCGTCCTCGTCCTCGTCCAGTGCGGGGTTGAGATGGTGATCGGCGGTGGCGACGTCCATGGCCGGGGGTGGCGGTGCTGTGGCGGACGCCACCATCGGCCCACTGGGGGTGGTGGAGGCAGAAGCGGGCAATGGTACAGTTGAGAGGGAGGCAGCGGCGGCGCAGTTGTCGCAGCACAAGGAAGGGGATATGGCTGAGGGCAGGAAAGAGACGTGTGAGAACAACGGGCTCCGACTACGGGCGCCAAACGTTACGTACGGCAGCGTGGCGGGTTGTCGAAGTAGGCGTCCGCGACATCCCTCCTGCACCCTCCTGCCTCTATCCAGGCCCGGAGATGCTCCTCGACGACCTTTCGATACTTCACTGGGGCTGCTAGTACTGCTTTGTTAATTCTCTCTTCTTCTTCTTCAAACTCGGACTCGCTTGTGTCGTCGGCCGTGCCACTGTCGTCTCCCCTCACCCCCGGCTCCTTCTTCACCCCCACCTTCTGGACGGCCGACATCTCCACCATCATTACAGCCCTCGCCTGTAAGGCAGGCGACCGGCCTGCGCGCCCTGCTCGCTGGAGCCAAACCCCGAGGTTTTCGGGCACCCCAAATTGCACAGCGAGTGCAATGTCTGGTACGTCCATGCCCTGTAAACTTCTTATCTTTTGTTCTGCTCTCACATGCTTTTTGACTTACCATTCCTGCAGCCTCCATCGCGACCAAAATTCGAACCTCCAGGAGCTCGGGAACTCCCGGTTTTTCGTTCCCGCTTGGAGCTCCGAACGTCTGGTCACGAGACTAAGGAAATAGGGAAGGTTCTCACTGGGCTTGATGATCCAGCTTAGCTTAGCTGGCTTGGCGGCAACACTAGGTGCCACGGACGATCTCAGCCGGCTTCAGATGTCGCAGTCCTCAGTCGACGTCTTGCTCAATATCGTATCCCACACCCCTGCCGGTCACATCCCGCGAGAGAATGAGATTTTTAGCTTCCATGAAGCTCTCAGCCTCACCGCTATCTGCCTATGCAGCTATGACATGGGACTTTTGCCTCCGGGTGAGTGTCACGTCAATGTATTGAAGTACCCGTGAACTCATCCGCAACCTGTGCCATAGATTATCAGAGTCGTCTAAGCGAGGTTGCGTTACTCACACGATTCATCAACATCGTAATCCGTGGCACCGAAACGGACGAGATGAAACGAGTACTCAGGCTGTATTGGAGCTAAAAATGGTCCAATCTTGAAAGCACAGAGATCATTGAGAACCAGGCCGGTGAAGCTCAGCTGGAGCAGCTCACAAGCTCGATGAAGCCTTCATCGGCCTCTGTTACAATCGCCATCGTCGACAACAAGGAGAGTGGATTCAGCAAGGTCTCGTCCAACATTGTCTACTCACACTCGTGTCGGCTCCATCCCGAAGTCGTCCTCATCTCGGAAGTCCTCAACCACCAGCGCTGCGACGGTCACATTGCCACCTCGCGACCTCCTTGTTATCCATGCTATGCGTTCATGAATGCAGTTGACGTTGTGTCGAAAACACGATTCACTGTGACGCTCTGGGATTACAGGGGTCATGTTGATCTGCACTGGCTATTCGATGATAGCCCGAGGAAAGAAGGCGTGAAGGCTCGGTTGCTGCAGGTGGTGGGCGGCGACCTGGCCTACGGCCTTCGCTATGCGTGGCAAACTTTCCAATGGAGTGAGTAAATACACGCTGCTTCTGTACTGTTAAAATATAAGTCTCCAAACTCGTTCAACGCAGTACTAGGCAGCAGGCGCTATCGAAATTCGAATGTTAGTGAAGAACTGGCAGGGTTGTGGTTGGTTGGGAACATATGGCGGCTCGAATATGTGCAGCTATTCTCCACGAGTCAATAGGCATGGGATGGACACTTGTCGGATGCTGTAGAACTTCAACCTTTCCCTGAACACAGTACGCGTTAGCTCCAGCACCTGAAAATGGCCTGTGAGGTGACATGCACGCGATGGTCACTCATCGGTCACCTCTGTGACACGACGCGCACGCGACGCGCGACGCGCCAATGAGCCGCATTTGCACTCTTTCTTCACCACGTTGCTCTCGAACAAACCTGCGATAGCTGTACCCTCGGTTCATGTCCTCGAACACCGACAATCTTGCAAGCCAGATCCGCCGCAGTTTCGGTGACGATCTAGACGACAGCCTCGTGTCCGAATGTGAGCATCTCGTCACGTCTGGTCCAGTACCCCCATGAACGATGTGTGCTACAGGCGTGAAGCTATGTCAAGCAAACAATCTGGATGGAGAGAATCTATACTACAAGTGGGAGGCGGCGCGTTTCAACAGTGGCCCTCCTCGGCCTTTCACGATCAAGGAGATTCCTGAGCTCAAGGCTGAGATCGTCAAAGGCCAGCGGAAAGAAACACCAGCGACGAAGAAGGTCGCGCGAGGCTTGCTGTCCGGCACACAGTCGAGGAATTTTGCTGCCACCGTCGGAAGGGGAGGCAGGCCGAACTTGAGCGGTCAGGCGAGCACGCCTGTAAAGTCTGTGGTGCGTGCTCAGGACGGCTTCGATTTGTCGCGTGTGGAGAAGAGGGTACCTGTTCCGGGGCCCAGCAGGGTGGCGTTCGTAGGCCCATCTCAGGAAGAGGTTGCGCGTAAGAAGCGAGCTTGTGAGTGATGTGTATCGTCTAGGTCGAATCTCTGCTAACAGGCATCACGATAGACCATTACATGTACGAGAAAGTCTCGGAGCGCAGCGAAGGTGAGTGCCTGTGGTAGCTTTGCTCGCAGTGTCCAACATGCCGCCCTTCCAGTTTTGGACGACAGGATAGACCATATCGGGGAACTCATAAAGGACTACTACAATGTCGAGGAGCTGGGTGATCCTGCTGCAGTCACAGAGGTCAGTATGCCTTCTTCATGCGGTAGCTCCTACTAACCATGATAGTAGGAAGAAGTGATTGTCGTCGGTCGAGTGGTGTTGGACGCAGAGTCCTCCGCCGGTTCAGTCAAGCTGAACGAGGCCTCTCTCATGCTAGAGTCGTCGCGCATGATGGGCTCCGGCGCTCGGGTCCAACTTCGCTTCGACCCTAACGTGAAGGTGCGGAAGGGTAAACAAGGCTTAGGCGGTCAGGGTCTGTTCCCTGGAGCTATTGTTGCGCTCAAGGGCAAGAATGGAGGTGGTGGAGCATTCCTGGCGACGGAGATTCTATCGGTGAGCGTGATTTGTTCGGTCGCGGCAACACGCATTTGCTCACATTTCTGTTCCAAGCTCCCGCCTCTGGACCCTCCAGCGGCTGCCTTGATCAAGTCTGAAACCGGAGATACACATTTCACCATGCATGTGGCCTGCGGACCCTTCACATCCGACGGGGACCTGCAGTACCGCCCTCTCCAGACTCTGATTGCCAAACTCAAGGCCGCGAAGCCTGCAGTTACTCTCCTTGTACGTTGCTCACACATGTCCCCGGTATTAAGAGCCCATGGTCATGGAGACGCACACTCGTTGTTATGACCGATTCAGGTCGGTCCATTCATCGACGCATCCCACCCGTCGATCAAGATCGGAGACGTCGACTCAACGCCCACTGAGACGTTTCGCACGGAGATTGTCGACCGCCTTCGCGACTTCCTCGAGTCATCGCCAGGCAGTATCGTCCTGCTCCTGCCAAGCACACGCGACATCGTCAGCGACCACGCAGTCTTCCCCCAGCCCGAGCTCAGCGGCATGTTATGCACCGACTCCGTACGTCCGACCCATTTCTCGGGTAAACTGCTCCCGTAGGCACTTCTCGCTGACGGATCCTCTGATGCCTGTAGCGCATATGCCTCCTTCCGAACCCCGCCCGCTTCACGGTGAACGGGCTGCACTTCGCAGCGAGTAGCGTCGACGTCCTCTTCCACCTGCGCAAGGAGGAATTCTTCAAGCGCGCCGCCGAAATCGAGCCTCTCGCCGGGCCTGCAGACCCGGAGGGCCAGGCTCCATCAGACGGGATGGCAAATCTGTGCAGACACGTTCTGCAGCAGCGGAGGTGCGCCCTTCCGCTCCTTCTCCGATCCGCTGATTTTCTGGGTTCTGACAGGGGTCTATGGGCCATAGCTTCTACCCGATTTTCCCCGTCCCGCTCGACCTCGCGCACGAGATCAATCTGGACGTGACGCACTCGGATCTGCTGCACTTGGTCCCGCAGGACGAGGACGCTGAGGACGCTGAGGGCGCGGTGGACCCCAGCAGGGCGCGGTGTGCGCCGGATGTCCTGATTGTGCCTAGTCGGCTCAAGCACTTCTCGAAGGTGCGTATTTCGTCGTATTGAGAGAGAGGTAAGCAGGCGCTGAGTGTGAGTGGGCGGTATGTAGATTGTGGATAACACGGTGGCGATCAATCCGTCATTTCTCACGAAGTCGACGTACGCGGTGCTAGAGTATGCCGGCCACACGGCGCCTGGGCCTGCGAAGGATAGGGTGAAGGTCGAGATTAGTCGTATAGGAGAATTCTAAGGGCGTTGCAAGCACCCCCGATTTTTCTTGCTGTGCATCTTGGGATATTCAGCATATTGATCGCCCTGTTAGCGTTGTTGCCACATTGGGATGTTCCGTCAGATACGATGTAGATCAATGTAGATAGTAAGTGGAATAATTACAACCGCTGGGGAGCAGACCAGGATCAAGCAAGTCCGCTGAGGAGGCACCGCCATAACGGGTCTACAGTAGAATATCTAAGCTACTAGGAGGCGTTGTGGCTCATCCATAAGATGTACCAGCTGATTATTCACGGTTCCGGCGCCGTATATCATATATGTACAATGTCGAGGGTACGTTCATTTTGTGGCGTGTAAGCGCCAAGGACCATATATAGAAAATTCCGCTGACCACGTGGGAGGCAGTGGTAGTCAGTGAGGGATCGGGAATGGCCCATCCCGGCTTCATTTCCCCCGCCCTTCCCGCACTCGTCCCCGCCGCCCTACGCCTCCGCCAGGCTCTCTGATCGCATGCGACAGCGGCCGACACCATGTACGACCCACAAACATCCATAACTTACGACCAACCCCAGGCTGGCGACGAGCAGTACATCTCTACGTTCTTCTGCCGCGCTCTTTACGACTACCACACCAACGACTCCTCTTCCCTCTCGTTCAATAAGGGCGACATCATCGAGGTCCTCACCCGTCTCGAGTCCGGTTGGTGGGATGGACTGCTGAACGAAGAGCGAGGGTGGTTCCCGTCCAACTATGTTGTTACGATTTCCGACCAGGAGGCCGAGGCCGCGCTGAATGGGTCCGAGTACCCGAGCTCGCAGGCGTCGCTCCCCGACGACTCGATGGTGGACATGGCGCACACGATGTCGCAGGCCCTCGCTCAGTCTGATACGGACGGCGACTGGCTGAGCGGGGGAGAGGCGGACTATCAGCCCCAGCGGACGGCTGCTTACACGAACGGTGCGACCGGTCGTGGAGGAGGAGGGGCGCAGCAAAGCGATTTCTGGGTGCCGCAGGTGTCGCAGGACGGTCGAGTACGTTCTCTTTTCTTACCTCCTATCTGTGCGACCCCCCTCACTTGCGTCTCGTAGATATTTTACGTCAATACCCAGACGGGCCAGCAGTCTAGAGACCTGCCGACCGAAGCCGACGCCGATGTGGAGGCGGAAGTCGCCGCTCTTTCACCCCAAGGGTCGACTCGCGCTGGGCAGAGTGTTGCGTACGGCCTCGCAGGAGCCAACGGAGTTATCCAAGACAGCGCTGGTTTTGGTATCCCAAGGAGATCACGGACACCAGAGCCATGGGTCAGGCGTTTGGCGGACGACGGTCTGTCGTACTACTACTTCAACAAGCTCGACGGCACTATTTCATGGACGGCCCCTGAAGCGAGCGCTCCGCCGCCGCCGGCATATAACGACGATGGGTTCTCGGGACCTCTGGCAACGAAGGGTTCGTCCTCTACGTCGGGCGCCTCAATTCCTCGAAACGGGAGCTCGAATGGAATGTCACGCCTACGGTCAGAGTCTTCTGTGTCGCGAACGCGGGAGCGCAGCGATAGCAGTGCTGACAGGCTCAGCATCCACTCTGAGGACTCCGAGGTGTATCCGACGAGGCGAGACAGGTCGCAGTCGACGACCAACGGCGCGAAGCAGGGCGTCGCGCGTCCGCCAATCGCCGCGTCCTCTTCATCTTCGCGTTCCAATCCCAATGCTTCTAACCCCAGCAGCAGCCAACCGACACCCGCGGCTCTCGAGCTCACAGCAGCCGAAGAGTCTGCCAGGGCGTTGCAGGAGACGCTATCGCCGCCATCCCCCGAAACCGCCGCCGAACTGTCCAACCAAGTTCGCGAATCGATTGCCGCCGTTCTTCGGTACCTCAGGGGCTCGTCCAGCCCGCGCCGGCCGGAACAGTACCGGGAGGTGGATCAGTTGGTGTTGAAGGTCGTGGCATCGGTGCGCAACCTCCTCTACGTCACCGCGACTCCTAGTGGCCATGTGCCAAGCCACCTCTACCCTCGAGACTCCCGCGATCCGCGGCTCGGCACCAATAGCCAAACGCTTCAGGCCCACCTGAAGGCGGCTCACCGGAAGGTTGCGGGGACCTTGTCGAAGCTCGTTCTGTCTGCGCTGGCGATGCAGTACGATCCAGGGCTGTCTTCATCTGACAAGCCCAACCGTATGGAGTCGGACGTCGCGGAGCTCGAGCGCGCGGTGATTGCTTTCGTGCAAGAAGTGCAATTCTACCAGGAACAGCATGCTTTGTCGAATACCCTTTCACGGACAGGTGGTGGGAAGCGTTTGTATGGTGTCTTCTCTACTGCGAACATCGGGGTGGGCTTGCCTGGTGCGGGTGTCGCCGGAGAGTGGCGAGGGTTTGGATACGTCGCCGCCGATGACGGCGTTGATCTGCCTCAACGGATACTCAGCGACGAGGTCGTGATCGAATACAAGGGCAGCCTGAAGGCGCTCGAAGCGCGCTTGGGGTCGCTGGTCAACTCCGTGAGGTACATAGACAGCCAACCAGGTATGTGCGCGCGCATGATTCCTCGGTTACGTAAATTAATTATAGTGAGTGCAGAACGAGTGTCTCACGAAGGACAGAGCGCCTCCGCCTACCTTTCGTGGCTACTGCAGTCACTTTGCAGTGTCAACATCATGCGCCATGTGGATGTGGATGGCATCCGTCCAGAATCGGGCCTCCCTTCGACGTCACCACAATACATGCAGATGGTCGACAAGGCCCGTCAACTCGTTCGCTCGCTCGAGGCATCCACCCAGGCATTGTTCGACGACGGAATGACGGTGTTCATTGGGGTGCAGTTGCTGGGACGCGCTCCGCTCCTCCCTCAGAGGGAGCGCGCTACGCTGATAGCCACAATTGAGTCGATCGCGCCCATCGTGCGGTCGAACTGTGTACTCATCGCACAGACTCTGGAGTCCCTGCTCGCCATTGGCCACGATCAGTCGTCGATCAGCCAAGGCGACTATCGAAATTCGATCGAATGGCGGTCGTCGCGCATTAACGTGACAGAAAGCTCGATCGCCGCCATCTCGCGCATGGCAGACATTCCAGCAGGGGAGGACGAGTATATCGACATGGCGGCCGCTTTCGCGCAGCCTATGATGCGCACGGCGTCCTCGCTCGATTCGACGTCGTCGACATTGTATAGCAATGCGAACCAGCAGCCCTCGCAGTCGTCCTTGGACATGTCAGATCGCTCGAGATCTGAGAGTGTCAGCGAGCCGGAGACACCGACATGGCAGAACGACACGGCTGAGGGCACGCTCATTGGGCCGCCATCGCCAGAAATGCCTTCGCCGCTCGATGACGACGCTGTGGCCTTCGTAGACGAGGATGATCGTGAGTGTCGTTGGCCCCGATAACCATGTACGTGTGATACTGACTCGAGGACGCAGCTGCGCTCCTTGGCAAGTCTCCGCCACGGACAGGCAAGGGCAACAAGCTCATGAAGATCCTCGGTTCCGAGGCGCCCCAACACTATATCAGCAAATTGAACGCGGAGCAGAAGCCGTGGTATCTACGTCCGAACTACGACCAGTCCGAGATCCTGATCGATCCCGACGGGCAAGTGCGCGCAGGTACACCATCTGCGCTTGTTGAGCGCTTGACTGCGCATGAGCTGGGCGGTGCGTAGTACTATCATCTTGCGATTTGCTTGCTGAAGCTGACCTCACGCGGCGAATCTAGACCCGACGTTTATCAAGAACTTTTTAATGACGTTCAAGTCCTTCATGACAGTCGATGAGCTGTTCGAGCTGCTGACTAAGCGTTATTGGATCTCACCACCTCCGAATTTGAAGCCGACTGAGCTCGAGGAATGGATACGTTTGAAGCAGCAGGTCATCCGCATGCGGTGAGGATTATTCAACCTCCTGGCTCAACATGGCTAGTGCTCATATGACGTGTAGTGTCTTGAATACCTTTAGGACAATGGTTACGGACGACGACATCCTGGAAAAAGAAGACATGTACATCCTTATTCGCATGAAGGAGTTCGCGTCTGATGAAGAAGTCGTCAATTTTGCGGCAGCGAAGCAGCTTTTGATCCTCATCGAGCGTGCAGTGAGTTCGTGTTCTTCGCCTGTATCTCGGTGCATAATCCTGACGCGCTTCTTGCAGCAACGTGGCGGTGATGCTCCTATCAAGACCACGAATACGGTACCCCTTGCACCTCCAGCACCTATTATGCCGAAGACCTCCAAGAAGCTCAAGTTGCTCGACATCGATCCTCTAGAGCTAGCGCGGCAACTCACCCTCATGGAGGCTGCCCTGTACAAGAAAATTCGGCCCATGGAATGCTTGCAGCGTTCGCGAGAAGCTAAGCCTGGAAAGACTGCGGATAACATCACAACTATCATTCAGCTGAGCAACAGGGTTTGTCGCGCTGGGCCCTTCACAATATGCTGTCCCAAATTCACACTTGATTATATGCAGATCGCTAATTGGGTCGCCGAATCCGTCCTAGCGAGGGAAGACTCTCAGAAACGTGCACGTATTGTGAAACACTTCATCAATGTCGCCGATGTAAGCACTATCTGCCGTTGTCAATCTGATTCTTTCCTGATTCATCGGCTGTCATAAAGCGATGCCGTATACTGCAGAACTTCTCGACAATGACTGCAGTGATCTCTGGTCTGAATACCCCACCGATTCGTCGACTTAAGCGGACATGGGAACAGGTCAATGCCAAGTTCATGTCCCAGCTAAAAGTCTGCGAGTCGACCATTGATACCAACAAGAACTTCAACAACTACCGCCAAACCCTAGCGAGGATACAGCCGCCCTGCGTGCCTTTCATTGGTTTGTTCACCTGCCCAAGTCCCACATTGCATCATATTGACCCATTGGCGTCTAGGTGTCTACCTCACCACCCTCACATTCATCAACGATGGTGCGGAAGACAAGCTAGCAGGCAAAATGATCAATTTCCGCAAGCGGCAGAAGGCGGCTGAGGTTATCCAGGACATCAAGCGTTGGCAAGCGAAGCCTTACAACTTCCAGACCGTGGCGTCCGTGCTGTCGTACTTGGAGGAATCCTTCCAGTCGTATCAGGACGGCGTCGACTATGGGGATCAATTCTGGAACCTAAGTCTGGAGCGCGAACCGCGCGAGCGGGAAGATGAGAAGATGGCCAGACTGCTTCAGGAAAGCGGTTTCTTGTAGACGACAGGACTTTGCGCGTGCGGGACTCCGCGTCGTCCTCAACTTCTCCACAGCAACACCATACTACCCCTGTCTCATCCTCTTCTGCATGTTCCTATTCCTTCGCTTCCACGGTTCTTGACAGATATCCCTACCATGCTTTGTATTTGTGTTCTACGCGTTCACACTTGACTTATGCCGACCACATGCTGTACTAGTAGCTACCTCTACTCCCGGATTAGGATCATGTCGTATAATGCACGGAGCTCAAGTGTGAGATGCGGTCTTTCTACTCGTGTGCATGTTCGAGCGCCCTTCACGACATCTCTACTCGCCGAGAGACGGTCGATACAGGTACGGCGTTCATCGGCGCTAGGAGGGTTGCGCTCGGCCTTCTCGATCTACAAATTGTACACATTCGCTACAATTCAAGTACAGTGATCGGCGATCTCAGTTTGGCGATCCTTACACTGTCTCAGCCAACAGCTCCGGGCTCTCAAACCTTGTCGGAATGCCAGTAGACGTCATCAGCTTCCGGGCCGCCGATGACAAGTATAGCCTCGTCCTCGGGACCCAGAATGCCTTGGGAGTCGTAGATACCAGGAAGATTGTGATCGATAGTTGCAGAGAAAAGACTTGTTGTCCTTGCGAAGCTAATTGTGCCACTGTCGGCGGCGCTAGATCCACTAGATACGAGTTGATGAGAGTCGAGCAGGACGCTCCGCTTGTGCGCTTCCTGCAGGTCGAGGAGGAAGTGGGAGACGAGGACCGATGCTATCCTGTAGGATTTGTCAAATAAGAGAGTGCTCACGGGCAGGCGTACGGGACGCACGGATTGCGGAGTTCGATTATGACGCTAGCACCACCAAGGTCCTCGACCTATGTAGAACGTGTCAGAAAGCACGCAAAGGAGGGATTGTGATAGCACGCACAGAAAGCACCGAAAGAACGAGGTGTAGAGTGTCAACGACCACAAGGGCTCTAGTGAAGATCAGGTTGTCTCAGGTATCGAAGTTGCAACGTAGGCAAATTTGACTGACACGAAGTAGATCAATCCTATAGACGACTGATCAACATCGGGCACATTGGGTCAGAGCATGAAGCAACCCCACCATTGTAGAGAATGATGCTAGCCATCGTCCTCCCGTTATCCTTGAGGGTCTCTATGAGCTTACGCCTCCGGGGAGCGGACGAGTAAGTAACTGCGACGAGGAGCACGTCGGCAGCGAGATTGAGCGTTCTCCCTACAATGACCACTGACGGGGCATGCTGGTGAGAATAACGAACAGAGTCATTCGGGGTACCCACATCTGCAAGGTGTAGTGTTAGCATCTAAATGCTGAGCAATGGGAAACGGTAACACCAAGTGACCCACTTTTGGAACAGTGCGACTGGTGTAAAGTCCGCTTCAAAGCATCCGAAGATAGAATCAACTACGCCTTGGGCGTTGTAAGTGTACGGGACCTGCATATTTCCGTGAGACAGCAAGAAGAGTTCGCAGTATGACAACATAGTCCTCACAATAGAGGCTCCGAGGGGAATGAACAGTAACCAGAAAATGAACGCCGCAAGTAGCCTGCGCTGCGTAAGTGCATATACACGGAGCACGGCAAGAGCTACGCCTCCGGTCAGTATTTTGTGCTGAGACAATTAGACGGCCTCACTAACCGAGTAGCGGGATAATCGCTAAGAATCCCACAACGAAGCTCGTCCAGACGAGTCGCGTACACCTGAAGATACGATCTGCTATCAGAGAATATACGGGATAGGGCTCGCCCCACACTGACCGCTGGTATGGCGAGACTGTTTAGTTAGATTGCCATAAGGTGCAATTTACGCATCGCCTTACCTCGGTTGACATCTCGAAGACCTCCAAAGTGTAGATTAAGTTGCAAAACAACGTCAGATATCTCGCTCCAGCGTAGAGAGAGGTTGCGCCGACGGATGCATTTCCCCAAAAGAGCTGGATTTCCCGAGGAAGACCGATTATCCAGTCAAAAGCAAGAAACGCTGCATATAGGGTCAGTACCGTATCCTGCGCCGCGCCCTAGGTTCTCCTTACCCATGGCTGCTGCACTGAGATAGTTCCCGGTCAAACTGACAGCAGATGATAATGAGTGACGATCACGAAAGACGCTAAGGACTTTGGTAGACGTACAAATTGTCAAACACTTGAACTACGCCAGCGTAGTCAAGGTCTCCCTGGTCTGCCATTATCCAGTGACGGCAAGGAGGGAACAGGGTACCACACTGATGAGGGGCCTCCTCTCCTCTTATCATGGGGCCAAACTGGAGAAGCATGGGTATTTGCTCACCGCATCTTTACACACAGTTACTGTGGGTACAGCAGCTTGTCATCGGACTTCGAACGACCTACACATCATGCATACGCGTCCCACGACCGGAACTCCAAGCCACAAGCGATGCCTATCGGCCCTCAGAGTCTGCAGGAAGACCGTTTCAGGCCTGCGCCCATGCAGATGGCGCTGGGACTGCTGAAGTCGCGATCTGCGCCGGCCTGCTTCGATCATTGCGAACCTCACATGTTCAACATCATCGCATCTTGCATAGGCGATTTGTGGTCTCTGGATTATCCTTGCAAGGCATGGGCGCTGTTCCGTTGCGTAGTACGTGTTCATCAGGGCAGATCCTTCCCACAGTCAGCGCGAAGACTGTGACTGAACCACTGACCGATATGTTGCCATACCAATTTGGTCCAGAGACCGATTTTCAAGGTAAGTCCCCTGACGGTCGTCCGTGCAGCAGTACTAAGCTTTGAGAACATGTTTGAACAGCACTACTTAGTGCGAGCTCGAGCAACGGGGCATTGCATCTCGGGACCTCGGCCCGCATGCCGCCCGCCGCTCTATCCTGCTCAGTTGCCTCCAGCATGAACTCAGAGGCCTCAGGCCTTGAATAGCGGGATGATTCAGTATATCTATAAGCTTGCTTGAGCGGCCCGCAGGCGTACCCACGAAGGTTTCGTTTCCTATGTTTCCGGCGTGGCTGGACAGATGTGGCATTGAGGCCTGACCATTCATCCAACCTTCTTCATTGGAACACTAGTCTCTCATTGTCGCGGAGTGCTCATATTTGGGTGTCCAAGGGATACGTGCATCACATGCTCTGACTCAGACCAGTGGTCGATGCAGTTGTAGCTTCATCGATCGGTCGCTTGACAAGTCTTCTACTAGCTATCACTACTCGCAGGCCTTGAGGAGCACACGCGAAGCAAGGGGGGTCACCAGAAGGATCTTCTGCCGGTGGTCCATGTAACGACAATTCCTGCTCCGGATAATGCAGAGGTGGCATGATGGTGCGATTGTAGGTGATACTGGTGGTGGTACTACATAGAAACACCCGACTCTCACGTCCTACCACAGTCCAGGAAGTCGAGAGTTGACGGAGATGGGAGACTCTGGGGGTATAGGTTAGCTATAAACAGCTATAGGCATCGTATTATGTGCAGGACTTGTGGAGGTCAGCAAGGTAGACTCGAAGTGATCCTGGAACGAAGTATTCTCGCTGACTAGGCACACAAGGGGCTTCGGGAAATGGCTTGTGTTTCACTGGCAACTTCATCCGTCAGTTCAATTTCTATAGGGGACAGTAGTAGCCTCAGCTCGAACCGATATAAGAGGCATATGGACGGTTACGTAAGCAAGAAGACAACAGCAGCAGTGATGCGTGTGACGCAATCGAGACAGCCGAAGAGTCGATTGGGACCAAGGGTACGTGTATACGATACTTGACAGGCCGTACAACATGATTTGTGGTAGTGATACTCGGCTCAGGCGAAGTCTATGTCGTTGTCATTGGCGAAGGAGTCGTCGTTCTCCTGCAACACCGGCGCTGTTGGTTCCGGGTGCAGAGTAGGGGCCGTGTTCGTAACTGTCGGCGCTGGCGGAACGTTTGCTTGAGTTCTAGGGTCCGTTGTCATCTGTTCATTTGCCTGTCAGCTCAGTCACGACTATACAGCAGAACGAGCCCTCACTTGCATTCGAGGGTTCATTTGAGGCTTGACGAGGCGGGGTAACCTTGTAACCATCGGGACCACTGGAACCCGTACTCGTCGGAGTGGTGGGTGTCGTAGGCGTAAGCTTGGCGACTCGGCCCCTCCTGCGACCTACACGCTGAGAAACGTCGGTCTGCGAGCGGCGCAGCTCGAATAGGAAGTCGCCGTCGTTATTAAGCATTGGCGTGCATAGCGTGAAAGGTGTCGTCGCGGGATAGTAGTACCTCCAAACCCCCTGGAGCACCTTGAGCTCTTTCAGAACTTCCTCAAAGTCCTTTCGCCTGGAGAGGTGGTGGCGGAGGGTCGCCTGCACGTTCGGGACATTGGCCCCCCCGGAGCGGATGGTTGATTTGGGGGGCGTCGGCCGGAGATTGTCGACGCCGTCAATGTCGACCTCGACATTGCCATGAGCGGCGGTCTTGATGCGGATGATGACGTTCCAGGGAACGGACGACTCAGTCCTATGGGCGATCAGCATGTGCTCATTCGTGCCCTCGTATCGGCCAACACGAGGAGAATACTCACTCCCAGGAGCTGTCAGCACGCGAACTATACATACGCAGCCGGATGACACCAGCAATCCTGATCTCCAAAGACCCGGTTGAAAGCATGGACACATCAGGTAATTCGAGCTCATTGCGGGTGGAGCCTGAGTTGTCGGTGTAGTCAGTGACATAGCGATGATAAGACATGAAGAAGGCACGGAGACAGGAGACATACATTCTATCTCGTAATCGCGGTGTGTGATGAGCTGAGTACCCGACTGTTTGAGGTGCATCTCGTTCTCGAAGTGCCATGCAAACTTGGTCGCAGCCCGGCTATCCGTCCCATTGACTGGCATCCACTCGCTTGGCTTCTTGCGATAGTCTGGGTGGTCCGCCCACCGCTGGACGACGTCCTTGGTCATGTATGATGCGGAGGAGTCGTGCACGAGGGTCGTGAGAGCGTTGATGTTGCCAAGAAGAGCGTGTAGTCTCTCACGGAAGGTACTCTTTGAGATGGCGAGCGTACCGTGTGAGAACCTCCCGCGGAGAAGCCATTGCGTCGAGGGTATGAACCTCGTGATGTCCGGAAGGGAACGATAGCCAGTCATGCCGAGGATGAAGAGGAGCTGCTCTGAATATGACGCGGAGTCGCCTTCATCAGCACGCTTCGACTCTACTGCATATGTACGGCATGTGATGTCTGTGAGCTTGTAGAACGTCGAAGAACTACCGGGTTTGAAGATAGGGATACTGGCGATGATATGTACACCCTTCTCGATGAGCAAGGGGAAGTAGTCATCTTTGATGAACTGAGCAAGAGTCATGCGTGCGCGTATGACGTTCGGGATTCCGTACTCCCAGTCTTCCATCGTACTGTACCGCGGCGAGAAGCGAGCATCTGTGAAGGCCAGTCATAGACTTTAGCATTCATAGTAGGGTGATGGTGATAATCCTGTACGTACTCTGTAAGTCCAGGTATACGTGGCGAACTCTGTAGGAATCTTCGCCTGGTGGGGGAGGGTAGACAAAAGGTTGATGGCGATATCTCCATTCCGGTAGCTCGTCGTTGTAACATATTGCCAGGTCAACCTCAAAGGCCAACCGCCATTCCCCTACCTTGCCGGAAATATGGTCTGGTCGACTGGAAAAGGGAAAAAGGAGAACAACTCAGCATCTTGCAACCTCAAGGCAAGCTCGGCGCACCTGATCTTTTTAAAATCTTCGTCCAACCAATAGTGCAAAGACCCGCTCGAGACGTGGACTGTGACTGCCGCTCGAGAACATCAGGAAAACGTCACGGACTTGGACCCATACTTGGGCCCAAGTTCATGTACTTGGACTCAAGTCTATGTACTTGGCCTCAAGTCCGTGTACTTGGCCTCAAGTCCGTGTACTTGGCCCCAAGTCCGTGTACTTGGCCCCAAGTCCGTGTACTTGGCCCTAAGTCCATGTACTTGGCCCCAAGTTCATGTACTTGGTCCCAAGTACACGGACTTGACCCAAGTCTATATACTTGGGGTACTTGGGGTACTTGTGCCACAACTTGAACTTTACATGTTGACTTCAGTATACTCATGCCTCAATTTGAGCAATTGGTGTTCTATCAGTCACACATCTTGTATACTTCTTATGTAATAATATCTATCATAGACATCCATACACTAGTTGTAAACCAGTCTGTTTTAAGGCTGTAGAAGCAGCTTTATAGTCTATTAGAAGAAGGGCAATAACATGTGATAGAAGACTTTAGGTTGTTACAATGTGCTTGTTTCAGTAGTGATACAGAGGTACAATATCCAGATAATGCTCAAGAATAGTGGTATCAGTGGTGGATGTCC